GTCCCACTCAGTGAACCCTGATATGAAGTCCCATTCAGTGAGCCCTGACGCGTAGTCCCACTCAGTGAGCCCTGATGTGTAGTCCACTCAGAGATGTCTAGTGTGTAGTCCCACGCAGTGAGCTTTGGTGTGAAGTCCCACTCAGTGAACCCTGATGTGTAGTCCCACGCAGGGAAACCTGGTGTGTAGTCCCACTCAGTGAGCCCTGATGTGTCGTCCCCCTCAGGTGACTCTAATGTGAAGTCCCACTCAGTGAACACTGATGTGTAGTCTCACGCCGGGAACCCTGGTGTGTAGTCCCAATCAGTGAACACTGGTATGTGTAATCCCACTCAGTGAACCCTGATGTTTCGTCCCACTCAGGGAACCCCAATGTGAAGTCCCACTTAGTGAACCATGATGTGAAGTCCCACTCAGTGAACCCTGGTGTGTAGTCCCACTCAGTGAGCCCTGGTGTGGAGTCCCACTTAGTGAGCCCTGATGTGTAGTCCCACTCAGTGAGCTCTGATGTGTAGTCCCACTCAGTGAGCCCTGATGTGTAGTCCCACTTAGTGAACCCTGATGTGTAGTCCCACTCAGTGAGCCCTGATGTGTAGTCCCACTCAGTGAGTCTGATGTGTAGTCACACTCAGTGAGCCCTGAAGTGTAGTCACTCTCAGTGAGCCCTGATGTGTAGTCCCACTCAGTGAGCCCAGATGTGTAGGCCCACTTAGTGAACCCTGATGTGTAGTCCCACTCAGTTAGCCCTGATGTGTAGTCAGACTCAGTGAACCCTGATGTGTAGTCCCACTCAGTGAGCCCTGATGTGTAGTCCCACTCAGTGAGCCCTGTTTTGTAGTCACACTCAGTGAGCCCTGAAGTGTAGTCACACTCAGTAAGCCCTGATGTGTAGTCCCACTCATTGAACCCTGATGTGAAATCACACTCAGTGAACGTTGATGTGTAGTCCCACTCAGTGAGCCCTGGTGTGTAGTCCCACTCAATTAGCCCTGATGTGTAGTCCCACTCAGTGAGCCCTGGTGTGTAGTCCCACTCAGTGAGGTCTAGTGTGTAGTCCCACGCAGTGAGCCCTGGTTTGAAGTCCCACTCAGTGAACCCAGATGTGTAGTCCTACGCAGGGAACCTTGGTGTGTAGTCCCACTCAGTGAGCCCTGATGTGTCGTCCCCCTCAGGGGACTCTAATGTGAAGTCCCACTCAGTGAACACTGATGTGTAGTCCCACGCCGGGAACCCTGGTGTGTAGTCCCATTCAGTGAACACTGGTATGTAGGCCCAATCAGTGAACACTGGATCGTGTAATCCCACTCAGTGAGCCCTGATGTGTCGACCCACTCAAGAAACCCTAATGTGAAGTCCCACTCAGTGAACCATGATGTGAAGTCCCACTCAGTGAACCCTGGTGTGTAGTCCCACTCAGTGAGCCCTGGTGTGTAGTCCCACTTAGTGAGCCCTGATGTGTAGTCCCACTCAGTGAGCCCTGATGTGTAGTCCCACTCAGTAAGCCATGATGTGTAGTCCCACTCAGTGAGCCCTGATGTGTAGTCCCCACTCAGTGAGCCCTGATGTGTAGTCACACTCAGTGAGCCCTGATGTGTAGTCCCACTCAGTGAGCCCTGATTTGTAGTCAAACTCAGTGAGCCCTGAAGTGTAGTCACACTCAGTTAGCCCTGATGTGTAGTCCCACTCAGTGAAACCTGATGTGAAGTCCCACTGAGTGAATCCTGATGTGAAGTCCCACTGAGTGATCCCTGATGTGTAGTCCCACTCAGTGAGCCCTGATGTGTAGTCCCACTCAGTGAACCCTAATGTGTAGTCCCACTCAGTGAGCCTTGATGTATAGTCCCACTCAGTGAGCCCTGAAGTGTAGTCCCACTCAGTGAGCCCTGGTGTGTAGTCCCACTCAGTGAGCCCTGATGTGTAGTCCCACTCAGTGAACCCTGATGTGTAGTCCCACTCAGTGAGCCTTGATGTGTAGTCCCACTCAGTGAGCCCTGAAGTGTAGTCCCACTCAGTGAGCCCTGATGTGTAGTCCCACACAGTGAGCCATGATGTGTAGTCCCACTCAGTGAGCCCTGATGTGTAGTCCCCACTCAGTGAGCCCTGAAGTGTAGTCACACTCAATTAGCCCTGATGTGTAGTCCCACTCAGTGAGCCCTGATGTGTAGTCCCACTCAGTGAGCCCTGAAGTGTAGTCACACTTAATTAGCCCTGATGTGTAGGCCCACTCAGTGAGCCCTGATGTGTAGTCCTACTCAGTGAGCCCTGATGTGTAGTCCCACTCAGTGAACCCTGATGTGTAGTCCCACTCAGTGAGCCTTGATGTGTAGTCCCACTCAGTGAGCCCTGAAGTGTAGTCACACCCAGTGAGCCCTAATGTGTAGTCCCACTCAGTGAGCCCTGATGTGTAGTCCCACTCAGTGAGCCCTGATTTGTAGTCAAACTCAGTGAGCCCTGAAGTGTAGTCACACTCAGTTAGCCCTGATGTGTAGTCCCACTCAATGAAACCTGATGTGAAGTCCAACTCAGTGAATCCTGATGTGAAGTCCCACTCAGTGAGCCCTGATGTGTAGGCCCACTCAGTGAGCCCTGATGTGTAGTCCTACTCAGTGAGCCCTGATGTGTAGTCCCACTCAGTGAACCCTGATGTGTAGTCCCACTCAGTGAACCCTGATGTGTAGTCCCACTCAGTGAGCCTTGATGTGTAGTCCCACTCAGTGAGCCCTGAAGTGTAGTCACACTCAGTGAGCCCTGATGTGTAGTCCCACTCAGTGAACCCTGATGTGAAGTCACACTCAGTGAACCTTGATGTGTAGTCCCACTCAGTGAGCCCTGGTGTGTAGTCCCACTCAGTGAACCCTGATGTGTAGTCCCACGCAGGGAACCCTGGTGTGTAGTCCCACTCAGTGAGCCCTGATGTGTAGTCCCACTCAGTGAACCCTAATATGAAGTCCTACTTAGTGAACCCTGATGTGTAGTCCCACTCAGTGAACCATGATATGCAATCCCACTCAGTGAACCCTTGTGTGTCGTCCCACTCAGGGAACCCCAATGTAAAGTCCCACTAGGTGAACCCTGATGTGTTGTCCCACGCAGAGAACCATGGTGTGTAGTCCCACCCAGTGAGCCCTGATGTGTACTTCCACTAAGTGAACCCTGATGTGAAGTCCCACTCAGTGAACCATGATGTGTAGTCCTACTCAGTGAACCCTGATGTGTAGTCCCACTCAGTGAACCCTGGTGTGTAGTCCCACTCATTGAGCCCTGGTGAATAGTCCCACTCAGTGAGCCCTGGTGTGAAGTCCCACTCAGTGAGCACTGATGTGCAGTCCCACTCAGTGAACCCTGATGTGTAGTCCCATTCAGTGAACCCTTATGTGTAGTCCCCCTCAGTGAACCCTGGTGTGTAGTCCCACTCAGTGAGCCCTGGTGTGTAGTCCCACTCAGTGAGCCCTGGTGTGCAGTCCCACTCAGTAAACCCAGGTGTGATGTCCCACTCAGTGAACCTTGGTGTATAGACCCACTCATAGAACCCTGATGTGTAGTCCCACGCAGGGAACCCTGGTGTGTAGTCCAACTCAGTGAGCCCAGATGTGTAGTCCCATTCAGTGAACCCTGATGTGAAGACCCACTCAGTGAGCCCTGATGTGTAGTCCCACTCTTTTAACCCCGATGTGTAGTCCCACTCAGTGAACCCTGGTGTGTAGTCCCACTCAGTGAGCCCTGATGTGTAGTCCTACGCAGGGAACCCTAGTGTATAGTCCCACTCAGTGAACACTGATATGTATTCCCACTCAGTGAACACTGTTATGTGTAATCCCACTCAGTGAGCCCTGATGTGTCGTCCCACTTAGGGAACCCTAGTGTGAAGTCCCACTCGGTGAACCCTGATGTGAAGTCCCACTCAGTGAACCCTGGTTTGTAGTCCCACTCAGTGAGCCCTGGTGTGTAGTCCCACTTAGTGAGCCCTGATGTGTAGTCCCTCTCAGTGAGCCCTGATATGTAGTCCTACTCAGTGAGCCCTGATATGTAGTCCCACTCAGTGAGCCCTGATGTGTAGTCCCACTCAGTGAGCCCTGATGTGTAGTCCTACTCAGTGAGCCCTGATATGTAGCCACACTCAGTGAGCCCTGAAGTGTAGTCCTACTCAGTGAGCCCTGATGTGTAGTCCCACTCAGTGAAACGTGATGTGAAGTCCCACTCAGTGAACCTTGATGTGTAGTCCCACTCAGTGAACCCTGATGTGTAGTCCCACTCAGTGAGCCTTGATGTGTAGTCCCACTCAGTGATCCCTTATGTGTAGTCCCACTCAGTGAACCCTGATGTGTAGTTCCACTCAGTGAGCCCTAGTGTATAGTCCCACTCAGTGAGCCCTGATGTGTAGTCCCATTCAGTGAGCCCCGATGTGTAGTCCCACTCAGTGAGCCCTGGTGTGTAGTCCCACTCAATGAACCCTGATGTGTAGTCCCACTCAGTGAGCCCTAGTGTGTAGTCCCACTCAGTGAGCCCTGGTGTGTAGTCCCACTCAGTGAGCTCTGGTGTGTAGTCCCACTCAGTGAGCCCTTGTGTGTAGTACCACTCCGGTATCCCTGGTGTGTAGTCCCACTCAGTGAGCCCTTGTGTGTAGTACCACTCAGGTATCCCTGGTGTGTAGTCCCACTCAGGGAACCCTGGTGTATAGTCCCACTCAGGAAACCATAATATTTAACCACACTCAGAGAGCAATAATGTGTAGTTCCACTCTGGGAGCCTCGATGGGTGGTGGGCTCATATGAAAGACTTAGCAACTTTTATCAATCATTTCACATGAAATTAATGGAACGCTGTAGATGGACAGTGAACTTTCTCGCCTTACTGTCACGTAAAGGCGACCAACAATAACAAACTAGGAACAATATCTTAGTGTTGTTGTTGTACTGCAACTATTGATCATTATCTACTTAAGAAACTGTGTTATGTAATGGTTATTGGGTGTGTTGAGAATACAGATTAAGGCTTCTCACCTGGCTTGGTGATCCGTATAAATTCATCGATGGCTTGAACAGGCATGTGGCTCTCAGCTAGGCTGCCAGAGGTCACCACCACATCATATGTGTCTGGCAACATCACACAAGATTAACATTACCACCAGCAGCAACATTATCAACATGATCAAGTAACATGATACACATAATTATCATGATAACAAGTATTGCAACATGATCATTCATGATGTTGTTACATGATTTGCACTACACTCACATAAATAAATAAATATATATATCGAATAGAAGACGTTTATATAAAACATCATATTTAAAATAAAATAAATATTTATATATAAATTTTCAGACAGCTTCAGAAATGTCCATAATTGGACATTTCTACCCTTGCCAAAGAAGTAAAAACATCGATATTATTCTCAAATTGTCAAATTATTTCGTTTTCGTCAAGTAACATTTTTACATTCAAGTTTTGATGACATAATTTAGCCACGTTATTGTGACTCATCGCCTGCACATTCAAGTTTATTTTGTAGTAGGATGTACTTGAGGATGGTAGAATGTACTTCAGGATGGTAGGATGTACTTGAATATGGTAGGATGTACTTGAGTATGGAAGGATGTACTTGAGTATGGTAGGATGTACTTGAGTATGGTAGGATGTACTTGAGTATGGTAGGATGTACTTGAGTATGGTAGGATGTACTTGAGGATGGTAGGATGTACTTGAGTATTGTAGGATGTACTTGAGTATGGTAGGATGTACTTGAGTATGGTAGGATTTATTTAACAATGGTAGGATTTATTTGACAATGGTAGGATTTATTTGCCAATGGTAGGATGTACTTCAGGTTGGAAGGATGTACTTGAGATAGTAGGAATACTCTTTATATCCTGCTTGATGGGGTTCTGGGAGTTTTACTCCCCAAGCCAGGCCCGAGGCCAGGCTTGACCTGTGAGAGTTTGGTCCACCAAGCTGTTGCTTGGAGCGGCCCTCAGGCCCTCATACCCACCTCAGCCCAGTTGGTACGGCACTCCTTGAAGAAAACTATCTAGCTTTCTCTTGAAGAGGTCCACAGTTGTTCCGGCAATATTTGTGCTCACTGGGAGGATGTTGAACAACCGTGGACCTCTGATGTTTATACAGTGTTCTCTTACTGTGCCTATGGCACCTCTGCTCTTCACTGGTTCTATTCTGCATTTTCTTCCATATCGTTCACTCCAGTACGTTGTTATTTTACTGTGTAGATTTGGAACTTGGCCCTCCAGTATTTTCAACGTATATATTATTTGATACCTCTTTCGTCTCCTCTCTAATGAGTACATTTGGAGAGCTTTGAGTCGGTCCCAATATTTTAGGAGCTTTATCGTGAATATGTATGCCGTGTATGCTCTCTGTATTTCCTCTATTTCAGCAATCTCTCCTGCTCTGAAAGGGGAAGTGAGTACTGAGCAGTACTCAAGACGGGACAATACAAGTGATTTGAAGAGTACAACCATTGTGATGGGATCCCTGGATTTCAAAGTTCTCGTAATCCATCCTATCATTTTTCTGGCTGAAGCAATATTTGCCTGGTTTTGCTCCCTAAACGTTAGGTCGTTAGACATCATAATTCCCAAATCCTGTACATGCTGTTTTCCTACTATAGGCACATTTGATTGCGTTTTGTACACTGTATTATGTTTACGTTCCTCATTTTTACCGTACCTGCGTACCTGGACCTTATCACTGTTAAACATCTTGTTATTGTCTGCTACCCAGTCGAAAACTTTATTAATATCTGCTTGAAGTTTATCAATGTCTTCAACAGAGGTAATTTTCATGCTGATTTTTGTGTCATGTGCAAATGATGATACGAAGCTGAGACTTGTATTTGAGTCTATATCTGATATGAGAATAAGGAAAAGCAGTGGTGCAAGGACTGTACCCTGAGGTCCAGAGCTTTTAACTGCACTTGGACTCGATTTTTATATGGTTTACTGTTGCTCTTTGTGTTCTGTTCGACAGAAGACGTATCCAGCATCGTACTCTACCAGTTATTCCCATTGACCTCATTTTGTTTGCTATCACTCCATGGTCACATTTATTGAATGCCTTCGCAAAGTCCGTGTATACCACATCTGCATTCTGTTTTTCTTCTAATGTCTCAGTGATTTTGTAGTAGTGGTCAAATAGCTGTGAGAGGCATGATCTCCCCGCTTTAAATCCATGTTGGTCTGGGTTGTGGAGGTCATTGGTTTCCATGAAACTTGTGACCAGACTCCTGATCGCTCTCTCAAATACTTCTATTATGTGGCTCGTTAGTGTATCTGGTCTATAATTCTTTGCCAATGCTTTGCTCCCTCCCTTGTATAGAGGGACTATGTCTGCTGATTTAAGCGCATCTGGTATCTACCCTGTGTCCAATCTCTTCCTCCCCACTATACTAAGTACCTGTGCTACTGGCACCTTGCATTTCTTTATAAAAATTGAATTCCGTGAGTCTGGTCCCGGGGCTGAGGCATGGGCATGTTCTCAATTTCCCTTTCAAAATCTGCCATGCTCGTGTTGATATCATTTATATTTACAGGGGTTTGGATATCACGCATAAAGTTGTCCGGATCTTCCTCTTTCATGCAGTTATTTGAGTACTAAACATGTCCTCATACTGTTTTTTTAGGATTTCACTAATTTCTTTGTCATCCTCCGTGTATGAACCTTCACTTATACAAATAGATCCAATACTGGCAGTGGTTTTTGCTTTTGATTTCGCATATGTGAAGAAATATTTTGGGTTTTTCCTTATTTCTTGAATTGCTTTCTGTTCTAGTTGCTTTTCTTCAATCTGATATGAATGTTTCAGTCTGTTAGATTTCTTCAATTTTGCTGTTTAAATTATTCCTTCTCTGTATGGAAAGTCGTGCCTGCTTAAGTCTTTCCGTTATTTATTTTCTTCTTTTGTAGTGTCGTCTGCGTTCTCTTTAGGATGGTATGATGTACATTAGTATTGTAGGATGAACTTGAGGGTGGCAGGATGTACTCGAGGATGATAGGGTGTACTTGAGGATGGGGCGATGTACTTGATGATGGTTGGATGTACCTGAGGATGGTCTGGTGTACATGAGGATGGGAAGATGTACTTCAGGATTGTAGTGTGTACTTGAGGATCGTAGGATGTACATGAATATTGTTAGATTAACTTGAGGATGGTTAGATGTACCTGAGAATAATAGGATGTACTTGAGTATTGTAGATGGACCACCACTACCACCACCTACACTTCCACCAGCAACTCCACTACCACTAGCAACACCACCTCCACTACTACCATCACCTAGACTTCCACCAGCACCTCCTCTATCACCATCACCACCTCCACTACCACCACAACCACCTAGACTTCCACCAGCACCTCCTCTACCACCACCTAGACTTCCACCAACACCTCCACTACCACCAGAACAACCACCTACACTAACACAACCACCTACACTAACACAACCACAACTACCACCACCACCACTACCACCACCACCAGTACCTCCACTTGCACAACCAATACTAACTACCACCATCACCACTGCCACCACCACCACAACCACCTAGACTTCCACCAGCACCTCCACTACCACCACAACAACCACCTACAATAACACAACCACTACTACCACCATCACCACTGCCACCACCACCACAACCACCTAAACTTCCACCAGCACCTCCACTACCACCACAACAACCACCCACACTAACACAACCACTACTACCACTACTACCACCACCACCACCTCCACTACCACAACCTCCACTACCACTTCCACCATCTCCACTACCACCACCTCTACTTCCAGCACCACCTCCATGGATTCTGCATAAAGTGAAAATAATGAATAAGGTTCATTATAAGGTTCCTTATGGTTATTCCTTAAGGTTATAAGGTTCACTTAAAGTTCCATTCTCCGGATTTTCATTGATATTTATACTTATTATAGACAAAGATGTGGACGGGTTCTCACCTTCAGGAATGGTTGTCGGGTCCTGGCTTATGAACTCCTGATATATAAGGTTGTACACTTCAGTTTCTTTAAGAATGTTCAACATTCCTTCTGAGGGTTCCAGGGCATCGATGTTCCTAGAATGTTACTTTCTTTTAAAGTTTTACAGAATACATATGTCAACATCTTCATTTTCATTATGTATGTACATGTATATATATATTGGTGTATACTGGCAGCAGGTTTTCTTTCAAACATGTTTCATTAGATATAACCGCATATTCTGTATTTATTATTTTCTGGTTTAGGGCTTCTATCCCTCTAACTATTTTCTTAGCATCAGGGCTTAATTGGAATAGGAGTTCTCCAAAACTCATTTTCGTACTTTTAAGGTGAAGAAAAGAAGTGATTTACTATAGAGTGTATTACACTTATTTGTATAATTTGCACGACGTTTCGAACCTCCCATGTTTTTCACCTTCATTGTATTATCACCTGACCTAATGCGGGTATAAAATCAACTAGTATTGTAAGATCTGTTCACTTGAGAATGAACCATGGAGGTTCGAAACGTCGTGCAAATTATACAAATAAGTGTAATACACTCTATAGTAAATCACTTCTTTTCTTCACCTTAAAAGTACGAAAATGAGTTTTGGAGAACTCCTATTCCAATTAAGCCCTGATGCTAAGAAAATAGTTAGAGGGATAGAAGCCCTAAACCAGAAAATAATAAATACAGAATATGCGGTCATATTCAATGAAACATGTATATATATATATATATATATATATATATATATATATATATATATATATATATATATATATATATATATATATATATATATATATATATATATATATATATATATATATATATATATATATATATATATATATATATATATATATATATATATATATATATATATATATATATATATATATATATATATATATATATATATATATATATATATATATATATATATATATATATATATATATATATATATATATATATATATATATATATATATATATATGTCGTACCTAGTAGCCAGAACGCACTTTTTGGCCTACTATGCAAGGCCCAATTTGCCTAATATGCCAAGTTTTCCTGAATTAATATATTTTCTCTAATTTTTTTTGTATGAAATGATAAAGCTACCCATTTCATTATGTATGAGGTCAATTTTTTTTTTATTGGAGTTAAAATTAACGTAGATATATGACCGAACCTAACCAACCCTACCTAACCTACCCTAACCTATCTTTATAGGTTAGGTTAGGTTAGGTAGCCGAAAAAGTTAGGTTAGGTTAGGTAGATTAGGTAGTCTAAAAACAATTAATTCATGAAAACTTGGCTTATTAGGCAAATCGGGCCTTGCATATTAGGCTGAGAATTGCGTTCTGGCTACTAGGTACGACATATATATATATATATATATATATATATATATATATATATATATATATATATATATATATATATATATATATATATCGTACCTAGTAGCCAGAACTCACTTCTCAGCCTACTATTCAAGGCCCGATTTGCCTAATAAGCCAAGTTTTCCTGAATTAATATATTTAGTATAATTTTTTTCTTATGAAATGATAAAGCAACCCTTTTCTCTATGTATGAGGTCAATTTTTTTTTATTGGAGTTAAAATTAACGTAGATATATGACCGAACCTAACCAACCCTACCTAACCTAACCTACCACCTTTTCTGACGTCAAAATGTCGTCAACATACCTTGTTGACGACAAGGTATGTTGACGACATTTTTACACAGGTACCTGATGTCAGACATCTGCAGGAGCTGAAGGAGGCATTTGAGCAGAGTTCCGTGCTGCGTTTCACTTACGAGATGGAAAAGGATGGGAAGCTGCCCTTTCTAGATGTAACAGTCATGGAAAAGGGCGGAGGTTTCCACACTGCAGTCTACACTAAGGAAACAAACATAGGAATGTGCCTAAATGCCAACAGCGACTGCCCAGACAGGTACAAGAGGAGTGTTGTTAACGCATATGTCGACCGTGCTCTCAGCCACAGCTCAGAATGGAAGCAAGTCGACGAAGAACTCTGTAGGGTAAGGCAGGTCCTAGTCAATAACGGCTTCTCCAATGGTTTCGTCGAAGACATCATAAGAAGGAAAGTGAAAAGCCATGCAACCTCTGAAGAGACAACTAACACAACACCTATACCCCCTATTAGACTATTTTACAGGAACTTCTTTTCCACAGCTCATAAAACGGAGGAAAGGGTCCTGAAAGATATTGTTAATAGAAACGTTATCCCTACAGACAAAAATCAGAGGATACAACTGACGATTTACTATAAAACCAGAAAAACGGCCAGCCTACTCATGAGAAACTCTCCAGACACAAAACAGAACGCTTTAAAAGAGACTTACATCGTCTATGCCTTCAAATGCCCACTTGGGGACTGTAAGCTCCAAAAAACCCAGTATATAGGCAAGACAACAACATCTCTTTCTAGGCGTTTAACGATGCATAAGCAACAGGGCTCCATTAAGGAACATATAATCTCTTCCCACAACCAAACCATCGCCAGAGAAATCCTAGTAAACAACACAGAAATCATCGATAGATACAGCGATAGCAGGCGGCTTGACGTTTGCGAGGCACTACACATCAAGAAGTCAACACCAGCAATCAACAGCCAATTATTGCACAACTATATTCTACCCACCTCAAGACTCCGCTCCAATATAGAAGCATCAAGAAATATGGACCAATAGGCTTTCTACAAACACTTCTATTCAATATCCATTGTTTCGTGTTCTGTCTTGTGTTGATGAAATTAATACCCTATTAATACCCTTGTTCTGTCTTGTGTTGATGAAATTAATACCCTATTAATACCACATTTTGTTCTGCCTTGTGTTAATGCCACATCACCCCTTCCACCTCACTCAAATGTAGATATAAAATCGGAGATACGTAAGTTCTATTCAGTTGTGTATTTGTGAACTAAAGTCTTTGAAAATGTAATAAGTTTTACGAAACGCGCCCGTGTCGCGTCAGACTAGAAATAAAAATGAATTTTGGAGAATTGATTTTTGATTTACCTCCAACAGTGAAGCGTAATGTACGAAAGATTGAGAAAATTCGTGTTAGAATTATTAATCTTACTTTTTCGGTCATATTTAATAATATATATATATATATATATATATATATATATATATATATATATATATATATATATATATATATATATATTATATATATATATATATATATATATATATATATATATATATATATATATATATATATATATAGTAAAAGACTCAGATGAACTAATTGACCTAAAAAGACACCTAGAGAGAGAGTCAGTACTCCGATTTACACATGAAAATAGTGAAAATAACAGTCTGCCATTCTTGGATGTACTAATAACAAAAACAGGAACCTCTTTAAGCACCAACGTATATACCAAGCCCACCAACAAAGGATTATGCCTGAACGGTAGAAGTGAGTGCCCCCAAAGATACAAAGCCAGTGTTCTCAATGCTTATATTCGTCGAGCGCTTACCCACTGCTCTGAATGGAGCAACGTGAGTAGAGAGTTTGAAAGAGTAACTCAGGTATTGGTGAACAACGGATATAGCAACGCGGAAATAAACGCTGCTATAAGAAGACACTTGGACCGTTGGTATAATTCAGAACCTAGAACAGAAACCACAACACCCCCAATAAAATTATATTGCAAATCAACCATGCACAGTGAACATATAAAAGAGGAAAGAATAATGAAAGAAATAATCCGTAAAGGAGTAAAAAGCACTACTCCTAACCAAAACATAAACCTGATAATATTCTACAAAACCAAGAAGACTTCCGAACTCCTTATCAAAAACAGCCCGAAGCCGACGGAGAACCCTCTACAGCAGTCAGCGTTGTATACATGTACACTTGCCCCCACGAAGGATGTAACCTTCAATGTAAGTACATAGGTAGGACGTCGACCAAGCTGACGAGGCGTTTGACATGCCATCTTCAATCTGGTGCCCCTAGGAATCACATGAGACAAGCCCATGACATTACTCTAACAAGAGAAATGTTGAACAAGAATACTTGCATAATAGACAAAACCCAAGATTCAAGAAGATTACAAATTCTTGAGGCAATTCACATAAGAATAGAGCGACCTACCATGAACACCCAAATCACGGAACTATTTACTCTACCCACCATGAGAGTAAGGACAAGACAAGAACATATCGATGCCAACACAGAAGACAATGTCCAACATAACAGGCCAATTACACTGGATTAATCTTTGTGTTTAGATAGGAGATGCCTCGTATGGGCCAATAAGCCTTCTGCAGCCCCTATGTTTATCCCTTATGTATCCCCCCATGTTTTCACCTTCATTGTATTATCACCTGACCTAATGCGGGTATAAAATCAACTAGTATTGTAAGATCTGTTCACTTGAGAATGAACCATGGAGGTTCGAAACGTCGTGCAAATTATACAAATAAGTGTAATACACTCTATAGTAAATCACTTCTTTTCTTCACCTTAAAAGTACGAAAATGAGTTTTGGAGAACTCCTATTTCAATTAAGCCCTGATGCTAAGAAAATAGTTAGAGGGATAGAAGCCCTAAACCAGAAAATAATAAATACAGAATATGCGGTCATATTCAATGAAACATGTTTGAAAGAAAACCTGCTGCCAGTATACACCAATATATATATATATATATATATATATATATATATATATATATATATATATATATATATATATATATATATATATATATATATATATATATATATATATATATATATATATATATATATATACATACATACATTTATGGGATCAGTAATTTGGATTAGTATACTGGACCCTAAAATGTTAATGAATTCACTGACTTAGGTGAACCAGTAATCATAGATTTAATGTGGTTTAGGCTATGATATGGACAGTCTGCTGACAGCCGTAAATTTAAATATTTGTATAGCCTAATTATGGTAACACATAATAATTGGTGTTAGTAAATGATTAATTATAGCTGAGAATAGCTTATTTCTCAGCTATCTAGGTTCGAAGGATCAAATTTTGTGTGTGAAAATTTGACTCATGTAAATCATTTCAATTAATACTGTTTTCGATAGCTTATGAGGGACCACCACTTTTTGAGAAAAGTGGTGGTCCCACTTTTTTTTAGGATATTTTTTCCTACCCTAAATTCTAATCTTACCTTTACTTTACCTATTTCCTTTATTCTTACCATTTCTCTTTTTTTACTTTTTTCCCCTTAGTCTTTACTTTCATCTTCTTCTTACCTTTTATCTATTTTGTCCTCTTATTCTTACCGTTTATCTTATTATTACCATTCCTGTGAGTCTTATCTTCATCTTTCTCTTTCATTCATTCCACCTTTCACCTCACTCTGTTTCCTCGTATTGTTTATCTCTTCTGCTTTCTTTCAATTACTTGACTTGATATTAGTCCAGGATGGATCGAAACGCCGTTGTTTCTTAATTTTCTGACCTGTGGTTTGGTCATCATATTTCAGCAATGTTATTATGACTCGTCGTTTGCATGCATTTTGTATTACTGAATTAACCGAAATGACATTCTATTACATTACAAATGAGGCTGAAAGACCTAACGCAACCTAACCAGTCCAAACACTGCCACGCACACTATGTTAGAACTAATATTGTACCTAAATGGGCTACACTGTGCCTAAGACTGTCGGGTTTTAGTTTTGCCTACGAAATTAATGGGACAAAATTGTAACTTTTTTAGGGCTAACAGTACATTTTGGTACATTTAAGCAAGTAGTGACTAAAGTATTATTGTTACGACCCTGGGTTCCCTAGTTGGAAACCAGAGGTCAAATTGAGCTCTAAATAATTACTTTACATTAATTGATAGGATTGCTGATGCGTTTTTGTTCCAATCTTCCTTGCCAGACGTAAGACGAATCTTGTTTCTCACAGAGCACTAAGACTCTAGGCTTGTTCATTATTAAATATTGAACTATTTATCGGCTATGTTTAGAAATTATTGAAATAATTAGTAAAGTATGTCTGAGTAAACTTGGAATGATGGCTGCTGTACGATTAGCTAAGTATCCGGCCGGCAGCGATCAGAGTGAGGGAGGACAGAGAGGCTGATTCTCTCTTCTCTGGACGGCTGTGCTTGGGTCAACACCTCTCCTGTGTGGCTCTGTCTCCTCTTCCTACTCCTCTCTTCCCTTACCCCATGCTGGGGTATTTCTCAGTTAAGTTATATTAAGGTATTTATTGTAGTGTGGGTTGGTGGTGTTGTCGTGTTGCTCCTCCTTTACGGACAACCCAACCCACAACTTGGTAGAGTGCTTATACTTCACTAGGTGATCACACTAGGCGCTTCTGACTCTTGGAGAGGGGCTCAACGTCACATGTTTAGGGGATGCGGCTCCAACACTCAGCCTCGTTGTCACGTGCACACACCCACTCGAGCCGCTGTGACTCCCCACTCTCTCCTTATGGGATATGATCTCCTCAATCCCCTTTGACTTACTAGTGTTCCGTCCTACCCTGTCCACAGCGGTGGTTCTTGGTTCTTTCTCTCTCTCTCTTTCTTTACTATTTCCTGGGAAGCCTCACTAGGACAAGGGCAAACACCAGCAAATTTGAATACATTTACTGAACAAAGCACATACACAATACATACACACATATAATAATAATGAATCCTACACTCTATACTATTTCAGTCAGGTTGCACTCCAACACCATCAGAACTCTATCATCTGCTTATCAAGTGGTATCCTATCTCCTGATTCACCACCTAATATTACCAACCTCCTCAGGTAGATCAAGTCTTATAATACAATGTTGTACTATCAGCAAGAGAATATATATATATCTATAAACATGTACAAGGAAAATCAGTGTATGAGTGCAATAACATATATATATCAGTATAAACGTTCCTTGATACACAACAATGATCAATCGATGACTCTATCAGTCCTAGAACACATACATCTGTAGATAATCCAGCCTACGACTGTAACTCTATGCTTCAGTATAAACACCTTGGTACAAAAATGGCAAACTATCACTCGCCTTTCACTGCGTCTTACACGCTAAAGACAAACACTCTATCAACTCCCTACAAGCGATCATTTAGAACTTCCCTTCCACATCTGGAAGTTCACTACCCTGATATCTTCAGGTTCTTCCAGGCTTAACTACCAGGATCCTCTGCAGCTCCTCCAGGCTGCTACACCATGAAGTTTTCCTTGGGCAACTATGGTGCTTCACTACCTCTACTAGGGTCCTCCACCGCTCTCCTGGCTGCTACACCATGAAGTTCCCTCGAGCAAATATGGTGCTTCACCACCTCTACAGAAGCACGTGATACTTCTCTTCACTGCTTCTCCTCACAGCTCGAGGTCCTCTCCTCCACTACCTTGGAGTCTCATCAACTACTCCCTCTGTGCTGGCTTCGAAGTTCTCAGCAACTTCTTCCCCAAAGACAAACCTGCAACCCATTGACACTCCAATAAAAATGTTTCCCCTTAAACTCATAAACAAAAATAACCACACAATATGTTTGCCTCCAACATCTATCTGCTCTCTACATACAGTGAGAGTGGACTCCCCCGTTTTGGGCCGGTCCATGCTCCACCTCGCCCGGCGGCCCTCACTCACTCTGGGAGGGTCCTCCGCCGTCACCTGCCAGCGCTCAGAGGGGACGGATATCGCTCCGTATTCCTCCCACTCCACTCTCTTATTTTAGGCCTTCTGCCTTATCAAAACATGTCTAACTTATCAATAAACATTGCTACTGTCGCTGGGCACACGACCAACTACAAGCAATCACTATGAACTGGCTTAAATCGTGTTTACCACAGATTGTCTGATCGAGGGCGCTCCTCCCTCTGACAGAGCCTGGTCAAGGCACTCCAACGGCCCACGATAATGTCTCTGGGCGGCTTAATAAACATTCCTCGCCGTCCAGGACTTGAGACCACAACGTTCCCTGCTCGATTCTACAGCTGGCACGTCTGCACACTTCTCTTCTCTTGGAGATATATCAGTAGGGGTTCCTTTCTGACGGGAGCTCAGACGGAGCGCGGCTTTCCCCTGCGATGTTTGGCGCTCAAGTGAGGTCAAAGCCCTCCAGAAGCGAGCCTCACGCCTCCAGCAAATTATCCACATCTCCTAACCAGTCATTTATCTGTTTTCTTATTCACTGCCCATAATCTTAAACTTCGTGTAAAATTTACCCAATTATTTTTTACATATGAATCTTCATGTTTGTATTTCCGACCACCTAGTCAGGTCAGGCTTGATAGAATAATTCTCAAAGGTGAGACTTGTTTTTCGGTTGCCTGAGATCATAACATATTGTGCTACTAGCTAGGCGTGTGTGTTAATTATTAAGTATTGTGTAGCATAAACCAGTGTTTTGGTCATCCCTAAGTGTTTGTGTTGTGACTAGGGTACCACGTGGGGCTTAACTACCCCAGGCTGCTTCAAGCTTTCGAATTCTTTTCAAGTAGACTTTACCCTAGCTTGTCCCAAGTGTAAGCCTTGTATCCTGTGTATGTGGACAGGATAGTGATCTATGTTGACCAAGGTAATTAACGTAAAATAGTGTGGTAAAGTAGTTATTGTTATTATAGTAATGTATAGGGTGGGTTATTAAGAGGATTTAATAAATAAGTTAGTTTTTGAAGTGTATCCATTAATCCTGTTGCAGGGGTGTAGATGATTGTATTCTAGACAGCAGATCTGTTTCTAAAACCTTGAAACATTAACAAGAACCTATGTTCCTTGGGGAGCCGGGCCTATCTACTCCACTATTTTTGATACATCTTAATTCTAGCTGTTGGCCCTTCTCATTAATACTCTATACCCCCATAATAAGTAAGCATAATTCATAACAATTATCATTTTAGGAGAATGGGTTGTCAAATGTAAGACAAATTTTAACAAGTGGATGTAAACTAGGTGTCACAAACATAAACTAAACAAAAACTAAATAATAAATTTCAGTTGGATAAATTTGGATTTAAAATATATATTGGGGAACACTGACCAGGAAATATTGGGGATCACTGGCCAGGAAATATTGGGGAACACTGGCCCAGGAAATATTGGGGAACACTGGCCAGGAAATATTGGGGAACACTGGCCAGGAAATATTGGGGAACACTGACCAGGAAATATTGGGGAACACTGACCAGGAAATATTGGGGAACACTGACCAGGAAATATTGGGGAACACTGACCAGGAAATATTGGGGAACACTGACCAGGAAATATTGGGGAACACTGACCAGGAACTTTGGACTCATTATTATGGAACAAGTTACCATGTAACGTCAGAGAGACAAACACACTAGATAGCTTGACGCTTTTGTTAGACAAATATATGAGCGGGAGTTGTTGGAAATAAATAGGACCTGCATAGCAAGGTCCTTCATTCTTATCGAGACCAGGACTTTTCGGTTGTAAGCCAACTATGCTGACCACTCCGCTACAGATGTATTTGAATTATTCAGAAGGGATTGTCTTGTACAATTTCTCATTATACTCACGTGAATCCTTTATTATGTAGCTCGAGGCCGACAGCGCCTGTACCTGTGGAATATATTCCACTCTTTAGTAAATTAATCATTAATGAAATCATAAGTCACTGACGTAAGAGACAAGAATACTATTATGAAGTAAGAGACAAGAATAATATAACTAGGTTTGTTATTATATTGTTTTAATATTATTACTAGTTATATAAGTAGTGTTTATTTCATTATGCACTTGTAATATTTTACAACAACACGAATTTTCCCTTAGAATATCCATATTTGTATTTAATATTAAGCTGTTTTATTGGCTAATAAAAGTGCGAATGGTATCTGAATCTTTGTTGTCTATAGATAGTAGTATAAGTAGTCACATACTTGATTTGAAATGTAAGGAAAAACGATTGCTTTCAAATGTGTGAAACACTTATAATAGCTGCATATTTGACATTTATTATTGGTTAAATTCCCATTTCGTTTCCTATATTTCTTTTCTAAATCAAATCAAGTGCACGTTTATATAATTATCATATATTATATTTCTTAATCCCAATTTTTTTATACTTACCGTGAAATATGTTACTTTAGGATAGGTATAAACCAACTACTGTTTATTATATCATGAGAAGCTAGTCAATACACTTGTTAAATAAAGAGCACACGAAATTTGTAAGAAGAATTTATATATTATTAAAATCATAATCTTAAAACTATTGGTTTTATAATAGCTTGGAAAAATATAGTGAAGAACAGAAAATATTGTTAATTGGTCATCTCTCCCTCCGTGTTATTACTCGTGTTTAGCATCTTTTGTCCCTTGGATATTTCTCATATTTTTGACAGATCATCATACTGGTACCCTGGTACTGTGGTCTACCCCGGGTCAAGTGCACCTAATCTTCTGCAATCTGACTGTAGGAGGACAAAGAGGGCCATAGTTCCTCTAGCTCGAACTTTAGCTACTGAATTGGGACCTCAGCAGCAGTTCTCGTCACCAGTTGACACCTCGCACCCCTACACGTCAGTCAGAGATGATGATACATACAACGGTAGGGAATTAGCATTCTTTTTCAGAGCACAAAAGTTCGCTAATTCTGTAAGTATCATATTAATTTCAGTGGGAAAGACTTGCTTATGTCCTATAGAGACTCGGCAAGGTATGCCTACATCCTTGGACTACCAATTTTACTTTTGAGGCAATTAACTGTTTCATTTGTTTTCGAAACTCAGTTTCATTTGTTTAGTAGGATTTTCTTGCCCTTATCCTCTTACATGAGTACCGGGTACAAGATTTCCTGCGCCCTTGATTTAAATTAATCATTTAACATCTTGAACTTAACATTAATTGTTAAAGATTCCACAGGATAGGTACCAGTTGCCACGTTGTCCTGTTTCTGACATTCACTATAACTGTATATTCGTTGTACATTTATTTGCTAATTTCACCATGTTTCATCTCCAAGCTTTCCGTGCAGATCCAGCAGGTACAATTGGGACTTTAAGTCATGCCAAGAGAGCAGAATTACAAACTCTTGCACATGAGTATCAACTAACAGTTCCCTACCAAGCCAACAAGAGTGAAATATACAACCTGTTACTGGATCATTTCTTAGAGCAAGGTGAGATAGACTCTGAAACTCATGAAACTTACTATATTGCAGATAAAACTGATTTGGCAACGATGAAACTCAAACTAGAGCTGGCCAAGATTGAACGTGAGCAGCAAAGGGAAGCCCTCGAGCAGCAAGAACGAGCTGCTGCCATACGAAGAGAAGAACAAGAACGTGAGGCTGCTTTGAGGAGAGAAGAACAAGAACGCGAAGCTGCTTTGAGGAGAGAAGAACAAGAACGCGAAGCTGCCTTGAGGAGAGAAGAACACGAACGTGGAATCGCCCTCCAGGAACGTGAGGTTGCGCTACTCCAGGAGCGGGAATGAGTACAGCTTGAAACCAAACGACGCGAGTTGGAGATGCAACGCGAACATGACAAGCAACAAGCGACTCTGGCTCTAGAGTGTCGTCAACGCGAAATCGCCTTGGAAACTTCACACTTCGCTCAACGCCAGCAAGCTACTGCCAATCTTCCCGTCAGTTTTAATATATCACATGCAAGTAAGTTAATGCCATCCTTTGTAGAAGCAGAAGTTGATGTGTTTTTCACCACCTTTGAAACCCTTGCTAATCAACTCATTTGGCCTGTCGACCAATGGGCCACACTTCTCAGAGTCCATCTTACAGGTAGAGCTGCAGTCACACTCAGTACTTTGGCGTCTGAGAATGACTACCAGACTCTGAAACAAGCAGTGTTGGACGCCTACCTCCTCTCCACAGAAAGCTATCGAAGGAAATTTCGTGACCACCCGTGCACAAGCCGCACGTCCACAGCCAGCTGACTCTACTGCTACCGCTGTCCCTCAAGACCCTCAGAAACTACCCCCGAATCTGACCAAGTTGGAGTTCCGTAAGTTGCAGAGGGAAGATCTTACTTTAACACCATTGTTTTTCCAGGCTGAGACTCAACCCGACAGTATTCCTGGGTTCTTCCTAGAGAACGACCTGCTCTACCGCAGATATAGACCCAGTAAACTTAAGGAAGAGGACGATTGGGCCAACATCGAACAACTTGTGATTCCTACCAGCCTGCGGCCCACTATTCTACACCTGGCCCACGGAGCACTCTCCCACTACGGATTCAACAAAACTTACCATGGAATTCGTCAAGACTACTACTGGTCAGGTATGGTAAATAGCGTCAAACAGTACGTAAAACAGTGTCATACATGTCAGATGGCAGGCAAACCGAACATCTCCATTCCCAGAGCGCCACTGATTCCCATACAGGTGCCTGCGGAACCTTTCCACAGACTTATAATAGACTGTGTTGGTCCTTTACCTCGGACCAGTTCAGGTAACGCCTATATCTTAACCATCCTGTGTCCTACCACCAGATTTCCCATAGCAGTTCCAGTGAAGAACATCACGGCTGCTACGGTTGTAAAACATCTATTGAAGATCTTCACTCAATACGGATTTCCCAGAGAGATTCAGAGCGACTGTGGTACCAACTTCACCAGTGATCTCTTCAAAAGGACACTGGAGGAGATCAACATCAAACAGGTATTGTCCAGCCCCTATCATCCTGCTTCACAGGATTCTCTTGAACGTAGTCATCAGACTATCAAAGCACTCTTGAAAAAGTTTTGTAGTGAAACCTCTAAGGATTGGGATAAGCAAATCGACCTTATAATGTGTATTTACAGAAGTTTTCCCAATGAGTCCCTAGGAGTATCTCCTTATGAGATGCTCTACGGTCGTAAGTGCCGTACTCCCCTTAAGGCTTTCAAAGACTCTCTCCGAGATGCCACCTTCAGTGAGCATCAGAATGTGCCCCAGTTTCTTCAAAACCTTCAACACATTCTAGAGAGAGTCCACCGTTTTGCCCATGATAATCTATTGAAAGCCCAGGAGAGGATAAAGACTCATTACGACCAGACCAGCAAAGTAAGAAAATTTAAGCCGGGAGACTTCGTACTTGCATACCTTCCTATCCCAGGTTCTCCTTTACAAAACAGGTTTTCAGGACCCTACTACATCAAGGAGTGCCGAAACAACAACTACGTTATCGAGACTCCAGATAGGCGGCGGAAGACCCAGCTGTGCCACGTCAACCTCCTGAAGCAATATAATGGTACTCCTCCCACTGTCCTGATCACTTATTCTACCTTCACAGAACCCTACATCCACAGTGAGACCTTCCCAGCTTCTCCTCCCGAAAGCACCGACAAGGAGTCCACGCTTTCTCATTCAAAAATCCATATTGATAATCCCAACCATTTTCAGGACCCTAATAGTGCTCCTTTGCCATATTCTAATACTACTCTCACCTCGTCAGATAAGCCCTTCATCCTCCATGTCGACGCCAGTGGTACCGACGTTGGTGGTGTCGTGATGCAGCAACAAGGCGAGGAGAACACACCTGTCAGCGACTACTGCTACAAGGAAGTACGAAACAATTGGCAAGGAGCTACTCTTCATCATCCTGAAGCTCCAGCACTTCACTCTACACCTGAAAAGTGCTCGGTCTACCATCAACACGGACCACACCACCCTACACCTCCTGCAGCACGCCCACTTCTCATCTCAACGTCTTCTACTATGGGCTTGATAACTGCAGAAATTCAACCTGGAGACACGCTATACCAAGATTCCGACAACATCTTAGCCAATGATCTCTCCAGAGTTAATGAAGTAGAAGCGACTCCATCTATTACTCCACCACATAACGACGTACTTCTTCCAGAACCGCAGGCTTCGGGGGAGAGTTGTGACGATAATCTCCTTCAAGAGATTGAACCTGCTCTTCCCTCCCAAGTTCGTCGTTATATACATCCCTATAAAACTAATATGGAAGAAATATCCAACAAATACATCTCCAAGGTTTGCCAGAGCGCAAACGTATGCAGCCAGGAACACCTGCTCCACCTCAAACCATCAAACTACCTGTCTGTCGCCTGCTCATCACTGATTGGCTGCGGGTCCAGTTGCACCTGCCCTCCACCCACCACACTACCTGATGTCTGGGGCCACACGACCGCCAGACCTCAGAATATCCAGTGCTTTCAACAAGTTAACACGTCTCGTTGGTAGACTAAGCTGTGGCTTACGTGTACTAAGAGAGGTGACAGCTTAAAGCCAATATTCCTGCACCCTATTTACATTGTTTGTTATACACTTGTTATTACTCACTTGTCTTAACGTAACTTTTTATTTTGTCATTTGATTATTCTTATTATTTTGATTGATTGATTTTATGTTCCAATTTGTATGTCCATTTTATTCATGTTTTGCTTTTCTAATGTAATTAAAATCTCATTGTTAAATTTACTTGTGTTTTGTGTGTCTTCTCATTACCTTACCACAGACGAAGTTCCAGATTTTCTATTTTTTGTTTCTATATGTGACGAGGCCATACCCCTAGCTTTTGAACAGCCGAACACCAACGCGTTACCTTCACAATATATATATATATATATATATATATATATATATATATATTAGT